TCCCAAAATGATTAGGCACCTTGCTTAAGATGTCATTGGTAATTGTCCAAGCCAGGATTTGGACCCAGGCAATTGGGTCCAGAGCCTATGTTCTTAGCCATTCACTAACTTTCAAAAGGATAGGATAAAACTATCCACACCATTTTGTAATCTGCTTTTTTGTTTTCTACTGAATACTATATATTTTGAAGGTAGATATGGTGGTACATGTCCATAATCCCAGCTGCTTAGGAGGCTGAGGCAGGAGAATTGCAAGTTTAAGGATGACAGCCTGAGCAACTTAGAAAACCCTGTCTCAAAATAAAGTAAAAAGGGCTGGGGGTATAGCTTAGTGTTTGCCTAGCATATATGAGACCCTGGGTTGAATCCTTAGTACTGCAAAAAGAAAAAAGAATGTCGTATATTATTAACCCTTTTCCATATCAATGACCTTAGATATAGAACATCATTTAAATGGCTCTGGGAACTGGGATTTAACTTAGTGGTAGAGACCTTAAGCCTAGCCTGAGAAGACTTTGGGTTCATCCCCAACCTTGCAAAGGGAAAAAAAAAAAGAAAGAAAGAGAAAGAGAAAGAGAGAGAGAGAGAGAGAGAGAGAGAGAGAGAGAGAGAGAGAAAGGGCTTTGTTACGACACAGAGTGGAATGCTACAATGCTTTTTCCCTCTGGCCATTTTGGGTAATAATTAAATTTTTTAAAAATAGCAAACATTGAGTCTATGCGCCTGGTACTATGCTAAGGACTATATGCATCTCATCTGATTTAATCTTCCTAGAAACTCAGTGTTTTACAGGGCAACAAGTTAGGGAAGAGGACATCTTATTGACGTAAAAGAGGCTCAGGCCAAGGGCATCTTATTGATGTAAAACCTCAAATTTAGATTTTTGAACTTACCTTCAATAAAATTGTATATGCAATAATATTTTTGCGTGTTTATTAATTTTTTATTTTTTATTTATTTATTTTTTTAAATGTTTATTTTTTAGTTGTAGTTAGACACAATATCTTTTTTTTTATTTATTTATATGTGGTGCTGAGGATTGAACCCAGGGCCTCACACGTGCTAGGTGAGTGCTCTACCGCTGAGCCACAACCCCAGCCCCTATTAATTTTTTAAACAACTTGTTATTTTGAAATAGTTTGACTCATAGGAAGTTGCAAAAATAGTACAAAGAATTCCCCTTGACCCATCTCCCCCCAGTGTCATCTCAAATAACCATAGTGCACAGTCAGAACCGGGAAATGGGCATTAGTATTTCCTTTTTGCTTAGGTTTTATGTTTGTTGTTAATGTTTAAATTTTTCTTTAAGCACTTAAAATATGTCACGCTTAATGATAATCTATTTTGTGTCATTATGTGTACAGGAGCCTTCAATGGAGGTGGCTCAGTCCTCTTCCCTGGCTTCTGAGAAGTAAATGCTATTATTAGTGTCATTCAACAGGAGAGATTGGAAGTTTGGAGAGGTTAAGTCGTGTGCACAATCACACAATTGTGGTAAACTTCTGAGCTGGTGCTAAGATCCCCCCTCCAAAGCTCCATGACCCCCAGTCCCTCTCTTGATCTGTTGTCACTCAAGCTGAGTTCCTTCTATGCTGCAGGATGCTGGGGCCAGAGAAGACCCCAGAGATGGGGCATTTAGCCCAACCCATGATTCAGAAAAGGGACTCAGAGGCCGTCTGCACGGTCCTGTGTTGGCCCAGCCCGGGGGCTCCAGGCTGTCTTCTCCCAGTAACCCTCTGTCTCATTTTCTTGGTTGTCTTGTTCCCACTCTTCTCCAGTAGCTGGTTTCCCCTAGCCAGTGTGCCCACTCCTAGCCCCCTGGCTGGACATTTGTTCACATCCCTCCCATGGAAGCCAGGGCAGGGCTGGGCTTGGCCTGAGCCTTTTGAAGTTTACCCTTAGGTGCTTCTCTCTTCCTCTTGTCCTCTACCTTAGGGCCAGCGGCCAGAGCAAAGAGAAAAAGAAAAGGCCACACATGTACAGGATTTGAACCCAGGCAATTGGGAAAATCCAGAACATAAGCTTTTTCTAAAGTCCTGTCCAGAGAAAGACGTTCTGACCTCTGCTCCAGTCACTGTGCCTGACTCCAGTCGGTCCCACTCTTGCTTCTCCTCCACGCTCATGCAGTTGTCAGCCCAGTCCCCTTTGTCACTCCAAAAGCAGATAGAGGTTTTCCCAGCCACAGCCATGGGTGTTGGCTCAAGCAAAGCTGATGTGGGGGATTCAATGCTTCTCTTTCTTTAAGAAACCAGGGCCGAATCTAGTTGACCCCTGTGTGTGGAGAGAGAGAGAGAGAGAGAGAGAGAGAGAGAGAGAGAGAGAGAGAAAAGTGTGCTCTGTCCATACTTTTATAGGACTTTGTGCATGGGGCTGTGGGGAGTAGAGAATTGTATTGTTCCACACCCCCACCCCCCACTTCAGAAACGCCAGATGTGCCTGCCACTCCTAGTTGACCTGGCAGCTGTGTGTGTGTGTGTGTGAGAGAGAGAGAGAGAGAGAGAGGGAACACCTGTGGCCGGTACACAGCTCCTGAACAGTTGGAACGAAGCTCTCCCTTGCTGAACCTCAGGACTACTTTCGGTTGGGAAGTGCCCAGGGGCCAGGCGCTGTGCCTATTGCAGGCCAGGGCTGGGAGTGATTAATTCACAGGAATGACATCTGAAATTGCCGCCAGAGCTGGTCTGTGAATTAAACAGGGGTTGCTAAATGGCATCACCACCCCTAACCTCATTACATGCTGGCTCCTGTCCCCTGCCATCTTCCGAGGAGGCACCCGGAGAGACTACATTTCCTCACAGGAAGCCCCTCAGGCCTGGGAGGAGGGGGAGGAGAAAGGATTAACTTGCTTCCTTGGACCTGTACTTCCCCAGCTCTACAAAGCTCAGGCCGTAGTTGAGATCTCTGGTATGCAGGGTGAACAGCTACCCTCCTTACATATGGGTGGGTTCTGGAGATAACATTCCAGGCCAACAGGTGACAGGTGCCTGCTAGACAGGGTCTTTCCAAAGGGTAGCTAGGTGAGGAAAGTGTCTAGTTTAAGAAATTACCAGCAATTTAGTATTCATTTTTTTTTAATTTTTTTGAGTGCCAGGGATTAAACTCAGGGGCACTTGACCACTGAGCCACATCCCCAGGCCTATCTTTGTATTTTTTTTAGAGACAGGGTCTCACTGAGTTGCTTAGCACCTTGCTTTTGCTGAGGCTGGCTTTGAACTTGTGATCCTCCTGGCTCAGCTTCCCCAGCCGCTGGGATTGATTACAGGCGTGCACCGCCACGCCCAGCTTAATATTCATTCTTTGAAGTTTTATACTACTCAGTGTACAATGCAGAAGTCTTATTGACTTGATCTCTACTCTGCAGGATAGTCCATGTCGATCAGCAGCCCCTGGAAGTGTAGAAATACAGAATTCCAGGTCCTGTCCTAACTTACTAAAGCAGAGTTGGCATTGCCATATGATCTGTCAAGGCTTTATGTGCGCATTGGAGTTTGTGAAACACTGATCTACTCCAAATAATCTGTCCACTTTTTTCCTCCACCCATGACAGGTATCAATAGCTGATCAAAAAAAAAAATTTTTTAATTAACTGTATAATTACATGGAATGAAATTTTTTGGTCATTGGTCAGGAGGGAATTAAATAAAAAATAATTACAGTATAATGTGATCTGTGAGCTAATTAAGGCATAAGGTGTAGGCAGCGAGAGCAGGAACCAGCTCTTTTCTTGGAGAGATATGGGTTGCATTATGTTCTCCCAAACCGTATGAAGCCCTAACTCTCAGTGCCCCAGAACGTGGCCTCATTTGGAAATAGGGTCATTGCAGATGGAATTGGTTAGGTTGAAGTAATAGAGAGCCAGGTGTGGTGATGCACACCTGTAATCTCAGTGATTTAAGAGGAAAAGGCAGGAGGATCGAAAGTATTAGGCCAGCTTGGGCAATTTAGTGAGATCCTTTCTCAAAATAAAAAATAAAGGGGCTGGGGCTGGGGCTGAGCAGTAGCATACTTACCTGGTAGTACTTATATGTACTTACCTGGTACGTGTGAGGCACTGGGTTCAAGTCTGAGCACTACATATAAATAAATAAAATAAAAATCTATCAACAATTAAAAAAAACCCCAAACACACAAATAAATAAATAAAGGTCGGGGGTATAGCTCCCAATGCTAGACTTCTAGCCTAGCATTTGTGAGGCCCTGTGTTTAATTCCCAGCACTGCAGGTGGGGAGGGGAAGAGGTCATACTGGAGTAGGGTGTCCTGATATGAAGAGGAGTGGAGAGGCACGGGAAGAATACCACAAGAAGAAGAGGTCAAGATCAGAGCGTGTAGCTTCAAACCAAGGAATGCCAAGGATTTCTGGCAAATATCAGAAGGGAAAGGTGTGGAACAGATTCTTCCCCAGATCCTGGGGGAGAGCATGGCCCTGCTGACACACTGATTTGGATTTACAGCCTCCAGAACTGTGAGGGAATAAATTTCTGTTGTTTTAAGCCACCTAGTTTGCAATGCTACTATAGGGAGACCCTAGGAAAGGAATGTAGGGGCAAGGCTAGGACAGCTGAGTGAGTTTGATGAGCTCCCTAGGAAGGGGCACCCCCCCCCCCGCCCCCCACAGAATCCCCCTTCTCCCGCAGAACAAGAGCACATGCAGAGGCTGGAAGGGCAAAGCACACACTTCTTTAAATAGGTGGGTGGTGGGTTCTTGTATTTTCATTAGGGAAGAAACGGATTTTGCTGTTGGAAGAGAGATCTGGAGCCTAGATCAGCCTTTCTACTGCTAAAACACCAGAAGCAAAGCAGAGATTGTCTAGAGCTGCCTCAGTCCAAAGAGGCAGTGCTTTGGGCTGCAGGTGTAGCTCGGTGATAGGATGCTTGTCTAGCTTGTGCAAGACCCTGGGTTTGATCCCTAGCACTGCAAAAATAAGATAAAAACATCCAATGCTTTAAACACCAAAGTCGGAAAAAACTAAAGATGAGCAAGGACCCTCATCTATAAAACAGGTATTAGTACACTCTCTTGATAAGTATTTGGTGCATACTGTGTGCCTGGTGCTATTCTATCAGAGGGGCTCAGCTAGGATAGATAAGGTTCCTGCCCTCAAGGAGTTTGCTTTATCAGGAGGAAGGCAGAAGATAAGCAGCAAAGAAGCATTCAGACAAGGTAACTTTGATGATGACCATTGCTTTGAAGGGACTAACAGTGATTGGAGGAAGTGACCTTAGATAGGGAGTTAGGGAGGCGAACATGAGATGAGATAACCCACATTACTATTGATAAGGTTATTATTCTTCCTTCCAAGATGAACATTTTATCTACTAACTCTCTTCCAGTTTTGGTAGTGGGGATTGAACCCAGGAGCACCTAACCACTGAGCCACGTCCCAGACCTTTGTAATATTTTACTTAGAGACAGGACCTCGCTAAGTTGCTGAGACTGGCTTTGAATTCACCATCCTCCTGCCTCAGCATCCCCAGCCACTGGGATTAAGGTATGCACCACCATGCCCAGCTACTCTCTTCTAGTTTTTATTTTTTTATTTTTAATTTTTAAAATATGTTTTTATGCTCCCCTCCATTTCCCCCAAACAAGCATCTCTCTCCTTGGCAAGTTTGGGACAGCTTAATGTTTGCTGAACTGCAAGGGGTCAAATGGATTTCCCAGCCTCTAATCACAGAGTCCACTTGTGCACTGCCTAAAATGAAGAGTCTACACTGGGTAGACTGGATTTTGGAGCTCTCCTCCATCTCCTCTTTTCCTCCTTTGATCCCAGCCATCAACCCTAACCCTAACCCTAAACCTAACCCTAACCCTAACCCTAACCCTAACCCTAACCCCTCTCTCTCAGACTGATCTTGGTTGCCTCAGTCCCTCCCAGCTGTGTGCATGGAGGAAGGACTTCTTGCAGTGTCTTTTGGAATCCAGAATGCATCCTCCCTTCGGAGATGGATATGCTTCTCATCTCACCATCTCCGTGTTTCTCCCCAGTCACATCAGTGCCGGGGACACAGTTTTTGTATGTTGCATGCCTGGCCTGCTCCATGCCAGGCCCTGTGCTAGGGCGTGCAGTAAGTCCCTGACCCAAATGTTCCTGTCCCTGGAGATTGCAGGAGGGTAGACTATGATGCTGCTTATACCATCACACCCACACCCAAGGAAAACACCACAGGGCCCGTGCTGGGAAGGAGACAGACCCCTGGAAGAGAGGGTCCCCTCTGCACCCTGTTGGGAAGGCTTCCCTGATGAACTGAGGTCAGGGTTCTGAGCCAGTGGAAACTCAGTACAGAGGGGTGGGGGGTCTTTTCCAGGCAGAGAAAACATGTTCAAAGGCAAGGTAGCAGAGAAGTGGGGGAAGAAGGGGTGAAAGTTCTCTGTGCCCACACCTCCCTAAATAGCCCAGCTCCTGCCCTCGCTTCCAGCTTCTCTTTGCCAAATCCAACAGTCACTTCTCAAACTCATTTTATTATCCTGTGAGTAGCATTTGGCATAACAGACTATTCCCTTCTTGTTGAAATGGTTTTTCTTTCTTTTTTAATGTTTACTTTTTCGTTTTAGGTGGACACAATGTCTTTATTTTATTTTTATGTGGTGTTGAGGATCGAACCCAGTACCTCATGCCTGCTAGGTGAGCGCTCCACCACTGAGCCACAACCCCAGCCTTTGAGACGGTTTTTCTTCATGTGACTCCCAGGATACCACACTTCTGTTAGGGCCACCTTACCTCACCTTCAACTCCTTATCAACTTCCTTTCTTATTCTTCTCTCTCCTTTCTTTACATGTTGGAGTGTTCTAGATTTTTGTCCTTGAATCTCATCTTTCTGTCCTTATTCTCTTGGTGACATTTTCCAACTTATGGCTTTAAATACCATTTCCCATCTCTGACCTCTCTGCCAAATGCGAGATTCCTGTATCCAACTACCCTTTCAATGTCCCCTCTTGAATCTGAATAGGCATCACAAACTTAGTAAGATCCAAATCAAATTGGTCTCCCTCTCCCTGACAAATTTGTTCTTCCCCAAATTCAGAAAGTAATTATCCTACAGGGTATCTAGCTTCAGACCTTGGGTTTATCCTTGACCCCTCTCCCTCAATCCATTTATATTCAGAGCACTAACAGATCCTGTCTTTTTTCCTTTTTTTAAATTTTTATTGCCAGGCAGGGTGGTGCAACACCTATAATCCCAGCAGCAGGAGGATCACGAGTTCAAAGCCAGCCTCAGCAACAGCGAGGCGCTAAACATTTAGTGAGACCCTGTCTCTAAATAATATACAAAATGGGGCCGGGAATGTGGCTCAGTGGTTGAGTAACCCTGGGTTCAATTCCCCAGTACCAAAAAAAAAAAAAAAAGAAAAAAGAAAGAAAGAAATTTGTTAATAGTTATTCATGACAGCTGAATCTATTTTGATATAATCCTATAAGCATGGAATATATCTTATTCTAGTTAAGATCTCATTCTAAAAGATGTACACGATGGTGGGATTCACGTTTTCACAATAGCTAAGCTATGGAACCAACCTAGGTACCCTTCAACAGATGAATGGATAAAGAAAATGTGGTATATATACAATAGAATACTACTCAGTCAAAAAGAAGAATGACTTTATGACATTTGCCAGCAAATGGATAAATCTAGAGACTATCTTGATAAGTAAAAGAAGCCACTCCCCAAAAAACAAAGGTTGAATGCTTTCTCTGACTTGTGGAAGCTAACCCACAATAAGGAGAGGTGGGTGAAGGAAGAATAGAAATGCAGGAGATTAGACAATGGGGAATGGAGGGAAGGGAGAGAGGGATAGGAAAAGGAAAAATAGTGACATGAATCTGACATAATTTTCCAAGTACATATATGAAATCCTGCCTTTTCTACCTTCTAAATATATCTGGAATATTTCCATTTCTCACCATTTCCTTTGCTGCCATCTTGGTCCCAGCTTTTGCCTAGATTATTGCAGACAACTCCTAACTGCCTCTGTTGCTGACCCTCCGGTTTTTAATATGGCAGACTTAACAATTCGTCTTCTTCTTCTCTTTCTCCTCCTCCTTCTCCTCCTCCTCCTCCCCCTCCTCCTCCTCCTCCTCCTCCTCCTCCTCTTCTTCCATTTTTTAGTTGTAGAGGGACACAATATCTTTGCTTTATTTATTTGTTTATTTATTTATTTTTATGTGGTGCTGAAGATCAAACCCAGTGCCTCATGCATGTGGGGCAAGCGTTCAGTTACTGAGCCCCACCACCCCAGCCCTTAACAATTGTTCTTAAGTGTCCTTGGGTTATGTCACTCTGCTCAAGATCCTTCATTGGCTGCACATGTCACTAGGAATAAAAATCAAAGTCTTCACAGGGGCTTATGAGACCTTCCTGAACTGGCCTGTTCCTGCCTCTTTGACCTTATCTTCTTTTACTCACCCCATGCTTGTTTTGCTTCCGTATCCTTGTTTTTTTTTCTGGAATATTCCGAGCTTGTTACTTTAAAGAATCTATCAGAGCTGGGTGTGGTGGTGCATACCTGTGATTCCAGTTACTTGGGGGGATGAGGCAGGAGGATCACAAGTTTGAGGCCAGTCTGGGCAACTTAATGAGACGTGGTCTCAAAAGATAAAGAAGGGCTGGGGATGTAGCTTAATGGTAGAACACTTGCCTTGCATGTGTGAGGTTCTGGGTTCAATCCCTAGTACCACAAGAAAAATGAGTATTTATTTATTGTGGTGAGGGGGCTTAAACTCTGGGGCCCTGTGCATGCTAAGCAAGCATTTATTTAACCACTGAACTACACCCCCAGCAAGACCTTAAAGAATTTACCTGTTATTCCCTCTGCCTGGAATACTTTGCCCCTAGGCTTCTATAAGCCCCACTTCTACATCTTTATCATTATCTTTGTTAAAGGGCCTCCACCCCACCCAAATTTTAATTCTTTTTCCCAGGACATTCCTGTCCCCTCACCTGCATTTTCCTCCCTCCCTAACACTTATGACCATTTTAGACATACTAGTATATTGTCTGTTTTTTAAAATTTTTGCTTTTGTGGTGCTGGGCATTAAACTTGGGGCCTCCCGCATGCTAGGCAAGTGCTCTGCCATTGAGCCACATCCCCCAACCCTGGTATTTTTTGACAGCTCTTTGAGGTATAATTGACAAAAGTACAAAAGAGTTTGTTTTTGGTTTGGTTACTGGAAATTGAACCCAGGGGTGCTCTACCTCAGAGCTACTTCCCCAGCCCTTTTTCTTTTTTGAGACAGAGTCTTACTATGTTTCCCATGCTGACCTTGAATTTGTGATCTTCCTGCCTTGCGATCCCCAGACACTGAGACTACAGATATGGGCCACCACACCCAGGCAAAAATTTAATTTTTAAAGCAAATCGCAGGTGGGCCCCAACTTATGATGGTTTGATTATGATTCTTCCACTTTTTCATGGTGTGAAAGCAATGCCATTCAGTAGAATCTGTATTTGGAGTTTTGGTCTTTTTAAAAATTTTTATTTATTTATATTTTTTTAGTTGTCAATGGACACAATATTTTTATTTTATTTTATTTATTTTTATGGGGTACTGAGGATCGAACCCAGTGCCTCATGCAGGCAAGGCAAACGCTCTACCACCAAGCCACAACCCCAGCCCTGGAATTTTGATCTTTTCCAGAGCTAAAGATCCCCAGATTGATCCTATTGCACCTATGCTCCGCAGCAGGGGTAAAGCTCCCCGTGAGTGTCACCTCACAAGGAGAACACTCCTTTGTGTGCTGTGTTGCCCAGCTATGGTGTTCAGCAGGTTAAGGTATAAAATTAATTAATTCTTTCTTTCTTTCTAAATGTTTAAATTTAACATTTTTGCAAACCTCAAATACCCGGCTTATCAGAAGTTAGTTGAATATCTCATATCTCCTGTACTCAATCTGTTACAAATATCCCACATCCCACAGCCTCTGGATGTGCCATGGCACACCTGTGAGAAACTTACAGTCAAGAAGGCAAGTAACATCTTTATATTAGCATGGAAATCATTTTGATCTTAAAAATCTCCCCAAGGACTTGAGGGATCCCTGAAACTCTCTGGACCACATCTTTGCTTTATATTATACACGACACATTCATAAACAATCTCATTGAACTCTCCCCAAAACATTTTGAGTTGGGCATGTTTTTAAACAGATGGGGAAGCTGAGGTCCAGTGAGCTTCATCAGTTTGTTTCTATCACAGGCTTAGATTCTCCTTGAGTCCAGGACTTGATTCCAGATAAACAGCACATCTCCCCCTGAAAGGTTTTGGATCACACACCTTTATCCAGGTAAGAAACTGTCTGGAACACTCAGAGAATGTTTGCACAATATTTAGGAAATTTAATATTTAACTCTATAATGTGGTAGAAAATGGAGACCCAGAGTTCCATAAATCAGAGCAGGACATGGAGTATAGGTGGGTCCTGGGAGGCAGGGGCTGAGTGCTGGCCGTCACTCTGCCACTTGCTGTGGAATTGAAGCAAACTTCTTTATCTTTCGGGGCACCAGGGTCACCTCATCTTCAACATGGAATGATATCATATGTGAACTGAACCAGGCAATTGCCCAAGACCACTGTGGGGTGTGGGGAGGGGTGCTGTCATTTACTAAAGATCCCAGTCAGTATTAAAGGCTTTCTGATTTAGGATATTTTAAATTTATTTTCAACCTTTCAAGGACTTTTATTGGGACATAACCACATTATAAGTTGGGGGGCACACTGGGGGCTGAAGGCATACCTGTAATCCCAGTGGCTCAAGAGGCTGAGGCAGGAGGATCATGAGTTCAAGGTCAGCTGAGCAACTTAAAGAGGCCCTAAGCAACTCAGTGAGACCCTTTCTCTAGATAAAATATATTAAAAAAAGGGCTGGAGATGTGGCTGGTGGTGAAGTGCCCCGGTTTAACCCCCAGTACCAAAATCAATCAATCAATCAATCAATCAATCAATCAATCCATCCCTGCCAGTCCCTCTCCTGCAAAGCCGTTTATCATCTCCCATCCTCCTCTCTGCTCCCGTTTCCTCCTTCCTCCAGGCAGAGGTTCTAATGTATGCAATGTGTATATCTTTCCTGTGGATTCCTGTAAAATGTGAATAATGTGTGTGTCAATTTCTAGAACTTTTAATTACACAGCAGCAGCACTAATTTAATGTGTAAACGGTATTGTCACAGATGTCATTCCAATCCTTTTTTTTTTTAAACTCAGCTCAATGTTTTTATCTCATGTTGCTAAATATATAATATAACCAGCTACACACACAAGATAAAAAATTAATTTAATACCATAATTGAATTATAAAGGAAAAGTGAGAGGAAATGAGTTTATAACAAAATATCTAATTCAATATGTAAATGCACAGGCACCAATATAGTAGATGACAGAGTGAAATAGGAGCTGTTCAGGAAAAACTTCAGGGTTAAGAGAAGTAAGGAAATATGAACTAATATTGGTGAAACTTTCCTTAAAGATTTTGGTATTTGGAAATGAAAGTTAAGTCGATATCTACGTAATTGTGAACAGATTTTTTGTCTACATGGATGTTCAGTGGATCATCTGAAGGTCATATGTATCATGGCGTGTGTTTCCTTGCTCTGCAGGACCTCTAACATTCCTGCCCTGCCCACCCCTTGCTGGTCAAACCTTCCCCTGTCGTGGTGACAAACAAAAATACTCCCACATCTGTCCAGGATGCCTCCTGAAGATGGATCATAGGCCCAGTGTATACATAAAACTATAGCACGTTTACAAGAAAACACTGGGAAAAAAATCTTTGTGATCTTGGCTAAGGCAAAGTAGTTTCTTTTTCTTTCTTTCTTTTTTTTTTTTCATTTTTCCTGCTAAGCAAGCACTCTACAAAATGAGCTGTATTCCTAGCCCTTTTAAATGTTTTTTCTTTTCAAGATGGTCTCACTACATTGTCCAGACTGGCCTCAATATTGAGATCCACCTGCGTCAGCCTCCCTAGTAGCTGCCATTGTAGGCATGTGTCATTGCTCTGCATCAAGGACCAAAAGTGGCTTGAATTTTCAACCTTTCCAGTGGGCTCCTTATATCCAGAACTTCTCTGTGACAAAAACTGCAGACTGGGAAAGTACCCTGACGTGCTTTGGTTGCCTGGTTCATCGATCCCCAGCCCACTCTCATCCCTGGGCAGAGAGGATGCAAAGCAGGAGAGGTAATTGATGTGCCATTTAATGGGTCAGTCCCCAGCATCCCCCTTGGGTCTAGCTGCAGAGTGTCCCTAGGTCTCTGGTGATGGCTGGCCAGTGGATACAGACAGACTTCTTACCCAGCCCTTCCAACTGTAGAGACCAGGGTATGGGGCTCCATGAATGTATAATAGGCTAATGAGGCCCAGCTAAGGCCTCAAAGTGTTGCCTCATACAGAGGATGAGTTCTCTTAAGAGAACTATTTTGTTTGTTTTATACAGTGTTTTCAATAGTAATGATGGTTGGGCTGGAGATGTAGCTCAGTGGTTGAGCACTTGCTTAGCATACATGAGGTCCTGGGTTCAATTAATAGTCCTGTTTAAAAAGAAAATGATGATGATGGTAATAGCTAAAAACACTATGCTATGTTCCAGCCACTGTTCTAATCATTTGTCTTTATTTATATACATGGATTTATGTATATCTTTTATTCTTCAAGGTAACCCTTTGAGATAGGTATTGACATTATGGCTAATTTTCGTGTGATGAAAATAAGACATGAGGAGGTGAAGTTGTCCAAGGTCACTGGCAAAAAACAAAACAAAACAAAACAAAAACTAGGATTAGAACCCTGCTTGCCTGGTTTGGTGGCTTCTCACATTTTTTGAGCCTACATTTAAAAATGGGGCATTTTACATCAAAACAAGGAAAGTAGGTTTCTCTTAAAATCAGAACAGAGGGCACAATTGGTCACAATTGTGGTTACAATTGACTGTGCCACGTCAGGTGGCCCCTTAGTGAGGCAGTGTTCTCCTGCTCACCTCTTCTCTCTCCTGAGTCCCTGCCACTGGGCCCAGTTCTTGTGCCCATTTTTACCTTCAATCATCTTATTCTTTAACCTCTGGGTTGAAGTCATATGATAATATTTAGGGGTATGAATTTATAAAAGGACCAGGCACTTTTTAAAAATTTTATTTATTCTAATTAGTCATATATGACAGCAGAATGTAATTCAGTTAATATTACACAGATAGAACACAATTTTTCATGTCTCTGGTTGAACACAAAGTAGAGTCATACCATTCGAGTGGGCCAGACACTTTTCGCCTCAGATAAGGAATATTTTCTATTCAATTATTTTATTTTTTAATGAAATTTATTTTAAACCATAAAACAAAACATTAACATTAAAACATAAAAATTGTACATATTGGGCTGGGGGTGTAGCTCAGTGGTAGAGTGCTTGTTTAAAATGCAGGAGGGCCTGTGTTCAACTCCTAACACTGAAAAAATGAATTTGTATGTATAGGGTACCTACCATGTGATATTTCAATACCTGTATAATATTTAATCAGGTTAAACATCCCTATCCCCTCAAACCATTTATCATTTCTTTATGGTGAAAACATTCAACATCTTCTTCTCCTTTCCTCTTTTATTTTGGTACTGGAGATTGAACCCAGAGGTTTTACCACTAAGCCATACCCCAGTCCTTTTTACTTTTTATTTTGAGCAGGGTCTTGTTAAATTGCTGAGGCTGACCTCAAACTTGCAATCCTTCTTCCTCAGCCTGGGATTACAGGCGTGCACCGCTGCGCCTGGCACGTCTAGCTTTTTGAAATACGCAGTACATTGTTGTTATCTGTCATCACCTTGCTGTGCAATCTCACACCAGAACTCACTCCTATCTAATTGTACCTTCAACTCCACTCTTCTTTTCTGTTTTCCTCTTACATTTTATGCATACGTGGAGTATAATATCCTAATTAGGATCCCATTCTTGTGGTTGTACGTGATGTGGAGTTTCAGTGGTCACATATTCATGTACGACTATAGGAAAGTTATGTTTGGTTCATTCCACTGTCTTTCCTATTCTCATTCTCCCTTCCTTCCCTTCAGTCCCCTTTGTCTAATCCAATGAGCTTCTATTGCTGCCACCCCCCGCCCCATTGTGTGTTAGCATCCACATATCAGAGAGAACATTTGGCCTTTGGTTTGGGGGAGTGGCTTACTTCACTTGGCATGATCCTCTCCAGTTCCATTCATTTACCAGCAAATGCCATCATCCCCCACTTAGGATGTTATTCTCCATGTATGTATAATATGTAAGAGGGAAACAGAAAATTGAAGTGATTGAGGCATGGAGCAGGCCCAAGCTCATAAGATCCCAAGCAAAGGCTGTAGAGTAACAGACGGAGTCTGAACTTTGCCTGGCTCTAGAATCTCTTACATTCCTGGTAGTATTTTCCCTCCTTTTCTGGTCGGGGGTTCTCAGATGCTGTTAGAAATTGTTGTGGTAAAGTCTGTCTTGGAGAAGAAGATATTGTGGTACTGAAGGAGCTAAATGATAAGAAGCCAACAGCTTGTGTCTTTGTCTGGTGTTGGGCAGACTGTCCATCAGGAGAATGATGAGAACTATTTGTTGAATGGAAAATAGGTGGGGGAGTCATCTATTAGGAGAGAAATCTGAAGAAATTTTAAAAAGTGTGTCAGGACCCATTCAAAGTTAAAAAACATTTGCTGAGCCTTTTTTTTTCCCCTTCTTTTTCTTTCATTTCTTTATAATTGGAGGGAATGCCCAGGTTTTTCTAGCTAGTACCATTAAGGATTGCCCCGGTAGGTAGAAAATGATACAATTCTGTCTCATTTCTCAGGCAAATTTATTTGCAAATCCCCAGCATTCTTTTTAAGTGGTTTGGGAGTTGGATCAAGTGATAACAGAAGCAGCTGAGAAATGAGGTTTGGGGCCTGGTTATTGTCTAACCAGGTGGGGTGGGGTCCCTGAACTTTAAGAAGCTTTTGTGTTTCCGGCTGTACCAGGGGGATTAGTGGCTGAGTCTGACCTCATGGGAGCAAGTTTTATTGTTACTTCTTATGAGACTGAAACCATAATGTTATGGTTTTTTCATGCGGCACCATCTGCTTCAGGATCTCAACATGCTTAGAGATTCCCCCGCCGCCCCCCTCCCCCAGTCCCTCCCTCTAAATAAGTTCTGTGTTTGGAAGAGTGACTTCACTTTGGACATAGAAACAGATGTGCACGGTAATGTATAAAATGCAATCAGTTAGTTTCCAATCAATTGCGTGGTCATCAGCATCATGGAGGCAGGGCAGTGTGCTGGGCTGCTGAGATGGAAACACAGATAACTAAAAATGTACTTCCTGCCATACAGGGCGTATAAAACACAGGCATCCAAAAAAAAATTAATAGCTATATGAAATAAAAAAGTTAATGACCAAAGGTAGAAAAAAAAAAGAATATGCAACTCAAGATTAGTTTCCACGTGAGGGCTGCAGATGTTAAGCTCTGTAGGAAGTCTGAGTTCTCTTTGATGGAGTTCCTCCTGGAGTAGCGGCACAGTCGGGGTGAACGCGCACAGTGCAATTAGAGGGACACTTTGATGGGAACAAAGCTGCCTGTGTAAGTGCAAGAGGAGGGGCACTGGTCTCTCTTCAACATAGTCCGGAAATTCATTCTGTAACAAAGAACTATAATTCCAAGTCAATGACACCTTCCAAATCCTCTCAGACTATGCCCAAAATTATAGAGAAGGAATGGCGAGTCCATTCTGTTCAGTCAGAACGGGAGAGCTGTGTACTGTGCTCAGATGCCTGGGATCTAATGGAGATGGGCCAGCAGCCAGGAGATAAAGCAAGTCAATACAGGACTGGGAGAACTCTGATGCTGGGGAAGATAATGAAGAAAGGGCCAGGATTTGAAAGCACGACCTCTAAGTCTTCCTGTGTAATGAACAGAATATAATGGACGGCTGAGATCTGAGACCTCGGCACACCTGCCTCTGAGGCCACTCAGCCAGTGGCCTGGCCATATCCCTAGATAACCTGGCCTTCAGGCAGCCACTCTTACAGCTTCTTGAAAAGAAGGCAGGAGATTTCCTCTGAAGGAGATAGTTGTGGGGCTTAGTCGTTAAGAACTTGAACTTTGACCACAGGACCTAGCTCCCTCATTAACCAACTGTGTGGTCCTGAGCAACTCATGTATCCTCTCTGAGTCTCAGACTGATTCAGAAAATAAGAGGAAAAAATGATAGTAGCTAAGTGCAGTGGCATGCTCCTGTCATCCCAGCTGCTCTGGAGGCTGGGGCAGGAGGACTGTGAGTTCAAGGCCAGTCTGGGCAACCTAAATGAGCCCCTATCTCAAAAAAATAAGTAAAAAATAATAGTCCATATCCTATGGGATTATTATGAGGATTAAATAGGATAAGCACTTGGCAGTATACATGGTCCATGTGAGTACATGATAAATTATATCTATTATTATTATTATTAAACAAGCTGATCATGGGCTGGTGGTGTAGCTCAGTGGTACGGCACATGCTTGGCATATACGAGGCCCTGGATTTAATCCCCAACACTGAAAAAAAAAAAAAAAAGAAAGAAAAAAGATGAACTTGATCATGAAGCTAAATATGTTTTCACTACTTTTTCCTTCTTTAAGTTTTAGACCCTGGCTTAGAGACAGAACAGGAATTGTCCCCTTCTTCCCCTCAGTTCTCCATATGCAACTTTGAAAAGATGAAGGATAAACTTACATAAATCGGTAGAAGGTGGGATGAGGTTTTCAAGCCTTTACTTGGTACCCTTGAAATTCAAACTTACACAAACCCAAGGGCGGCTCTCTTCTCTGAAGATGGAGGTGGAAAGCTGTTGCCGAGGGACCAGAATCTTTCCCTTTCTCTCCCCGTGGACGATCTTGGATATTCTTGGATGTGCTTCTCAAACTGACATGCGTCCGAATCACCCTAGTGTCTGCGTTTCTAACAAGCTCTCTGGTGTGGCCTAGGTGGTCAGATCACATCTAAAGTTGCAGAGTCCTAAAAGGCCTTGGGTCACTTAGTCCAGTGGCCTGGAGGAAACCCCTCTACAACTTCCCTGTGAATACTCTTCCAATTTCTGGATGAAAAGCTCCCTCCACGCAGGTAGACCTTTCTTTCCAGGTGTTCGATGGCCAGGATGATAGGAACTCCTGTCTGTAACATCTATCATGGAGCCTAGTTCCTTTCT